AAAAAAAACATCGAAAGTCAAACGTTAGCGTAGCGCATCACTTATGCCGTTTATGTCAGCTGACAATCGGTTGATATTGAGTGGCTTTTTGGTGTTGCAGAACTGTATTAGTGCCACTCTTCGACATAAGTTCACTTCCTGATGAGTCCGACACTTTGGGCTAGCGAGGTTGGAGGAGATGACGCTAATGGGTCCAGCGCAGAACTAAGCTAATTTGGCCCAGTGCCTGAGTGCTTCGACTAGAATAAATCAAGCCAATGTCTTTCAGCTTTAAGCCGACTCTGTCGATTTTAGGGGGTGGGCACCCGAAATTATCTAGGATTAAGAAACAATTAATGCTTCAAAGACTGTGGGAAAGCAACCAAAGACAACCGGATATTTCAGCGATCGGCTCTTTCACCTGTTTAATCAAAATAGTCCTAGAATTTGATAATTCATTGAGCAGCTGTCAATTGAATTGTAATAAGATAGGATCTCTGACCCTTCAAGGGACGAAATTGCCCGTGAAGAAAATATATAAAAACGAGAAGGTTCCGGGAGTTGATAAGTTCTTTTTTAGAGGTGCACCTCGGAATCCAACCTTTATTCAGAGCTCACAGACCCGAACGTTCTTAAGGTGTATGCATGTAGTCTCTAGAATGACTTGCTGATAAGCCGACAGGGAAGTCAGGAATTTCCATCTCTCAGACGTGTCTGGTGCCAATCAACCGATCTCGGAGGGATGGAAGACTAGGTTGACCTAGGTTGGCCGTGTTGGGAAAAGGAATCGAAAGTTTTTGCGTGTTTTCGGTCTAAGGGTTTCAATTGAGAATCTCATACCATCTGTTTCAGGCATCTACACGTACTTCTTTTTCTTTGCCGATAACAATTCCTATGTATTCATGCTGGCATCTCAGGTGAGATAGTCTTTTCTAACAGAATGAAAGTCAAGTATAAGGTTTCTTTACATTCTGTAAGATAAATGACACTCTTTATAAAGTCAGCAGATTGGTACTGAAGCGAGCTTGAATATGCTCTTTTGCACAACTCAATGATCCAGTTCGGAATTGGTAGTTAACTACACCTTTTCCGACCTTACATGACATTCCGTCTTATTTCCAACTTCCTCAATGCCCCCTTGCAGTTTCTAATGGTCAGCACGATACTCGATTTGTAGCAGGATTCGTAAAGTAAGGAACGCGCGTATATTATTCATAACGAACTGATTCCGGCTGCCTCTCTTTAGAGGCTCCCTCGGATGGGTGGTGCACGGTTCATGATGCTACCACCCTTTTCATTACAGGCAACTCATGTACACTTGGTTTGCCAATACTAACCGTATTTGTATAATTCCATTTCCACAGTTCACAATGATACTTTTGGTTCCTTTTCTGATTTGATAAAAATAGTTTTAAACATCCTTTTTTGAGTTAGGAAGAAGTTTCTGTGGCGGCATCTTGTAATCGAGATAAGTCACTAAAATTTCACGGTTACGGTTTCCTGACGTCACCCCCATTGAAGGGTGTCTTCCTCTGGAATACTATGTATGTTGAGAAGAAAGGTTTTTGGATGAAGTCGTGGCTACACTTCTTATTGATAAGGAAACTCAGTGAGAGCTAAACACAAAGGTAGACTGCCTCTGCATCCTCGGCCTTCAGGCCTACTAAGCCATCAATTCCACTCACTGTCAATCTTTAACTGGCTGCATTTTAATTATTTTTTATCAAATTCAAATTATACCTACTTTAAATGATTGCAGAGTTATCTGTGATGATTAGGGAGACTGCTGACTAAGGAGATTCACCAAACGTATTTGAATAATTCAATTCACGCAGTTCACAATAATTTTGTGGTTCCCTTTGTGATTCGATGCACATTGGTTTGAACTTCCCTTTTCGAGTTAGAAAGCAGAAGTACTGGAGAATAGCACATCGATGACGAAGAAAGCGAAAAAATCAGTCAACTTTGCCAAAAATGAGGCTACATAAAAGTAGTGGCAGTGGAGGTTGTACGAGGTTACCATGACGGAAATGGCATAGGAGGAGTAATTGGAGGAGATTTGTCTGTTGCAACTACGTGACTACATTAAGCCAAAAATGTCCAAAACTGCCTTCTACTCTCACTATGGGTCACGAACAGTTGTTTGAACTTTCAACATAGGTTCCTTTATGATTGATTCAGCCTCTACAACGCAGTTAAAACTTGCCGTATCTATCACTTATCAGGTGTGGCCACAGCTGTTAAAATTTTCAAGCCCATACAACGTCCTATCTAATCCTCATAACGCCCTATCTGGGCCGATGGGGCAGCGCCACATATGGTATTCGAGGTGCCTCAGATTCATCCTACGGAGTATCCCAGAAACCATTTTTACTGTGAACTGTGCCTTTAGATTTCTCTCGTCGTGTTACTTTTGAAAGGGGAGTTGGTAGTTACTAACTTCTGGCGTCGATGCACGCCATTCTGATTTTAGCGAAGAGTCTTGTTGAAATGCATCGACGTATTTGTCACGGCACGAAGTCTTAATGTCAGGGAGCAAAACACCCTTAAAAACTTTTCCACTGTTTTTTCTTGTGCTTGTTTCCTCTATATTCAAGTCAGTCTTTTCTCCAGGATTCCCATTGACTGTGATATGAAGTTTACTTTCATGCAGAAGTTTCGTTGTGCTGATCATCTGATCTATTAACCTCACTGATTGTTTCCTTTTTCAGGTTCTCCGACCATTTTTCCAGTGGCTTTCGCTACTTAGTAGCTCATTGAATCCCTTGATATACATCGCCTATAGTCAGAAATACCGGCGAGCGTTCCACAAGATATTACTGCTTCCATGCCGATCAAAGTCAGTGCTACAGAGCTTCTCAACGCTACTAGTTGCTGATTACTGCTTTCTTAAGGTATGAGCGTGTACGAGGGACGCTTCTGCGCAGTCACGATACTCAAATTTCCGAAGGCAGTGAAATAAAAAAGGTTCGTAGTCTGTCAGAGGAAGCTACTTGTATGAATGGAGGCTGTATTGTCGAGGAATACAACGTAATCTGTAGTTGTCATCAGTAATCGTTCAACAATGAGAGCCAGTTTTAGAATTCAACGGTGAAGCGCAGCAGCCGATATTTGCATTCGACAACGACGGAGTTGTCTGGGATGAAGGATGGGCCCATTTCGCCGATGATAGCAATGATGGATAGTCCTCGATCTGAAAGGCGCAGTAACAGCACCTCTTGCTGACACCCAGAATAATCACTCCTGTACTGGTTGCCCTGCGACTATGCAACGACTCACGCGGTTCGTTCGAGAGAGGGACCATATGCTCGGCAAGGTACGATGGCAGATTGTAAAAAAGGCAAATGAAGAACAAAGTATCTTCCATTCTGATATGAATGCTAATAGATTGATGCATTAGTTGAATTGATTCGATTTAAATTTGATTATGCTCTTCTTCTCCACACTCCTCTCTCAGGAACTTCGTTTGTTCATCAATTTGCTTTTCTCGCTCTCTCTCTCACTTCATCGAATCATCACTCACTCCCTTTACAGCGTGCTGTCTTAATGCGATTTCTGGTGAAAAGGCTCAATTTTTGTTTTGAACGTTATTTGCCTGGCATTGTATACTAATCGTTGTTCATTGATATGAGTCTGTGCTTCTTGGGTTCTCATACGCGGTAATAATAAACATCCAATCAATGAGAATAATACATTTTCACAAGGAGAAGGTTTTTATGGTCAAGCAAGATTCAATCAGTTGCCGAAGTATTGTGACAAGTAAATCAGTTTCCCTCGTCTGCTTCCTCAGCTAGATCCCATCGAATCTTTCCTTGTAGGGGTGAGCACATTCACGCAACGAAGCCCTCGACTTTCTATGAGGACAATCGGTAAAGGAAATATCAACGAAACCCAAGAGATGATGTTTAGACACAGAATGTGAGTAGTTTGCCTGCATTGGTTACTGATTTCACAGCTGTGGTAGGCGTCCAGAAAGGAGTGCCAATAGTGTACGAATATGGAGGGAAAATTTGGTTCCTATTGTAACTATCATATTATAATTAAATCATGATGTATCAAATCTATGGATCTCCTTCACAGGGCTCTTTCACTGAAGGATCCCAGCCGGTTAGCGACAAAGCTATGTACGTAGGGCGTCCCTAGGTAGCGGTTAGAGGAGTAAATCGCTGACCAAAAGTCACCAGTACTTGCGCAGAGACGCAGGTGGATTCAGGAATGGGCTACCCGATTCTGCTGTGCTGGTCGATAAACCTTCTGTTTCTCGCAGGCTATCTACGCATGTGTGGAGAGTCTGTGGGTGCTTTTGGTATCCTGCCCATCCCGCGTCAGAGCCTGACAAGCTAGACGTTGTGCATCCACTCATCGAAAAACAGTAATACAAATGGGCCTCACTCCTGTGAGGCCTCAGATCTCTTAGCCTGAGGGAGCCCCCAATACGGCAGCGTTGGGTAGGGCCGCTCGGGAGAGGCTGCAAAAATCTCGGGGTCAAACCAGGCTGCACAAAAGGAAAAAGACTAAGATGGCGATCTGTGCTTTCAAAGCGATAATGGAATGGAATGAGCAGGGTGAAAGGCTGTCTGAGTTTATCATGTCGACTTACACCTTCCATAGTAACTTGCAGTTCCAAAAAGCCTCTCATTTGCGATGAAAATGAGAGTCACCTATTGGGCAGTTCCATACCGTTAGACCACATTATCTTCAATCGGAGATTTTTCTGAGTAACTTTGCTGTTGTTTCGAGGTTTTACGCGGGAGCGGACCTTCGTCTCATCCGCGCTATATTCTGCTTCTCAATATGTGGAGAGAGAGCTATGAAGTTCAGGAAAGAAGCCCTAACACCTCCATCTGGGACCCCTCCGCTCCCCTTGCATGTGAATGAGAAGATTCCGTTAAAGACAACATCGATAAAGAATACAAACGGCTCGTCGAAGACCCCCACGATAGTGTTAGGAAAGCATATGCTCTACAAGTAGCGGGATTACGACTCTCTCCCAAGACTTTCGAGTTGATACGCCATCGGTAAACGCGTGAATTACAGGCAATCATCATCAAACCTCCGAACTTGCGAAGTTATGTAGAGAAGCGATAAAGAAAGATCTGAATAGGAAAGGGTAGCAGTTATGGACGAAGAAGCCGAGGCTGTAAAGAGCATTCGCAAAGCCTGATGGAGTTTCGCCAGTTACAAGACCAAGGTGACTTCCCTTTGTCGTACTGACGGAACAGTTACTGCATTCGAAGGGCAACAGAGAAGGCCATCTACGACTTCTACTTGGCTCACTACGACAGAAAAGTCTACCTGTCCACTCACCACCTCAGGCAAGACGAATATATCGCTCCATCGGTTCTCCCTCCCAAAATTCGACATGCCATTCCGTCGATGAGGAATGGTACGCCACCTGGTCCCGACACGATCAAAGCAGAACATCTAAGGAGTTCACTCATTAAAAACATGGCTAGACTCTTCACGCGGTATCTGTCAGAATGCAAAGTGCCCACGTCGTCGAAAACTAGCAAGACTGTGTTGCTGTATAAAAAGGAAGAACGACGATAATCTAAAAACTCTTCACACGAGTCATCCTTAACAGTATTGGCAGATGAATAATAGGAACGCGAGCAAGCAGGGTTTCGGAGAGGGTTCAGTACAATCGATCATATCTACATTCTTACAAGACTCATTGAAGTATCGCGAGTGTTCAAAATGCCGTTATGTTTTGCGTTCATCGATTTGAAGAAAGCCTTTGATACCCTTGAGACAGAAGCGGTAATTGCAGCCCTGGCCAACCAGGGTGTCCCTACTCGATATATAAGGAACGTGAGCTCTACAACAACTTCACGACC